ATGTTTTCCTCATCTTCTGCCCTGTCTCCCTCACTAACCTTTCCTCGCCTGCTGCTCATCTCCTCCCCCTCTTCTCCCATTCCTCCTACTTTGCACTTTACAACGACGATCCATCTGTCCATTTTCTGTATTCCCCTTCAACAGAACATCCAACAACCGTGTACTATTGCCGACCGCTACACTGCCGCTCAAAGGTTGGCTAACGACGACAACGACGACTACTTCGATTACTCGCGTAGCGCTCCGGATATTCTGGTTGGCCGAAAAGAATTCTACAATTCGCTATTAATTGATAAAATCGAAATGCTAAAAAATACTGTCGGTTCTTGGGAAATACTTACACAGAACGAGAGGATTACCTTTGCACTAAAAAGAAAATTCCTGCAGCACAATCTTGGAATATACCGTAAAGGGATTACATTTTTATCCGGGAAACAACCAAGGAATATGGCTGATCGAAGACATGTCTCCTGCGATCTACATTACAACAGCTGCTTACTGTATGAGTTCAGTTTCGACTGCTATGGGTATGCATAAACCCACACACACACACAAAGACACACACACACACACACACACACACACACACACACACACACACACACACACATATATATATATGCATACACACATATGGATATATATATATATATGGATAGATAGATACATACATAGATACATATATATATATATATATATATATATATATATATATATATATATATATAACTTCCTTTGTAATTCGTTGCTTAAACTTATTTAAAGACATTCATTCTATCCTGTGAAATTTAGAGAATTTATGTCGTATCCCATCATCCTGTTTTGTGCATTTACAGAAGAAAATATATTCTCCTGCTTATTTTGAAATATAGTTCATTACAGAAAAAAATAGCCCGATTACGTTAAGGCAAAAGGGAAAACCCCTGGTTTTCTCTCAAATACATAAACATTAAAACTACTAATTGCTGTTCTAAAAAAAGTCTAATGATACTTACGCACACGCATGTCTATATATTTGTACTCTTATTCGAAAAGACGAAAAGTTCAAGTGATTTATGAGTTCAAGTGAACTTTACGTGAAATATTGATTATCTAGATCGAGTTCTCTGTTGAACGCTTTTTAGCAGAAATTCTGCTAACCATGAAAAATAGATTATATTCTTGTAATTTTCACATATTTTCCGTTGTAGCATTATTATTATTATTATTATTATTGCTGTTATTATTATTATCATCATCAACATCATTATTATTATTATTGCTATTATTATTATGATTATTACTCTTATTATTATCATTATTATTATTTATATTCTCATGTAAATCGCCCGATTATTACACGTTAGGACGTTAGGTTAAAGTGGAGATGAGAAAAACAAAAATAATCCGCTTAAAAACTTACACGCATATATTGGCAATAGACTATTCACACATTAACAATTAGCTTGCAGATGCATTGTAATTTGTACACACATACACAGAGAAAGAGAAAGAGAGAGAGAGAAAGAGAGAATTATTTTCACACAAATAGTCAGTTTCATTTATGCAAATATTAGTATTCTCTTTAAAAGCTGACATTTATAACTTTTATAATTAATTCGTTTCCACTCAACATCCACACATGCAGACCAACCAACCTCCCTTAACGTATGCCATTTCATTGGATTTAATATTCCAATAACGGATTAATTTATAAGTACATAGACCATCAGTGTTATACAATTCTTGCCAAAATTATCTTCATTTATAAAAAAAAAAACAAAAAGAAAAAACTGGATACCAGAAATACGAATATTATAAGTTAAAGTGGATTTTACCCGAACAAAATCGGTGAGGACGGTTTCGCGCCCTTGACATGTCAAAGTTGTATTTTTTTTCTCTTTTCCAGCTGACTCCAGAAGGCTGAAAGTCACTAACGAAGTCTCAGTGAACGAATCTCAAAGTTCTGCATGCACATATGCATAATTCATCAGCAGGACGCCCTGGATGTTAATACCCTGAAGTAGTCACCCAGCCACACAGACCGATTTTCTCAGACATTTATGCAGAGAATACAAAATGATCAGAGTTACGCGGTGAGGCAAATATTTCTTAGAAACAGTTCTTAGTTTTGATCTAATGAATTGGCCTTGAAAAGTTGTCACATATTAAACACGCACAAACAAATGTAAACAAATGTAGTCATTTATACGCCTAAAAATAACAACAACAATAATAATAATAATAATAATAATATTTTTTTTCACAAGTACAGCTTATGAGTGGCTTTATCTATGTAAATTTTGTGTGATTTTTTTCAAAACTGCTCAGTGGAAAAATCTTGATGACATTTCGGACCTCCAGTCAGGACCCAGGAAGAAATGAGTATACACTAGAAAACAAAGGAAATAATAATAATAATAATAATAATAATAATAATAATAATAATAATAATAACAAAAACAAAATACGTAAAAGTTACTATAATTGTATGTATTTAAGGATATATATATATATATATATATATATATATATATATATATATATACACACACACACACATACACACACACACACACACACACACACATATATATATATATATATATATATATGTGTGTGTGTGTGTGTGTATAAGTATGGGATGATTAAATGTATTGGTTACAGAAATGAAGTAATATACAAAAGAGCTAAAACGAAAAAAGCGCAAACACAAAGATTGACACAGTCTGCGTCAATCTTACAAGTTCATATCGAAAAAGAAAACACTTGATTGCCCTCTACAAAAAAAAAGCCAAATGAAAGGTTATTAATAAAATCGGCATCATTCATTTAATCGACCGCTGATAAGTATTTGCTTTCTGTTAAATTATCTATCTATCTATCTATCTATCTATCTATCTATCTATCTATCTATGTATCTATCTCAGTCTATTCATATCTATCTATCTATCTATCTATCTATCTATCTATCTATCTATCTATCTATCACGCACACACACGCGCACAGATGCATTCACGTTCACACGTACAAAGACACAATTCCTTATATCCAAATGATCAAAAAGAATCAATTCTATTTCTGAGCCAGTTAATATCAAAATATTAAAATACTTGCAACAATTTATTGAATATCACACGTTCCTTATTTGCAAACCATAGACCACGTGATCAAATGGATGAAAGAAGATTATGATGCGCCATCCCAATGGGGAGAATCTGCCTATCTCTATATTTACGAAGTATTTTTATATAACACAAAGCGACGTAGGAGGTAACGAATTTAAGAAAACTGTGATGCTCCAATCATCCAAATAGGGATTATTTGCTTACTTTTCTATTTTCTTACGCACAGCCTACTATAGTACAAAGCCAAATGAGGAAATTAAGGTGGGAAGATTGTGTAGCGTCAATTTTCCAAATAGGTAATATCTAACTAATATATGTACCTACCATACTGCTCAGTATAACACACCATTGGCCCCAGGAATTAAACTATTGTCTCCTTCTTTTTAAAGTGCACTCTATGCATCTCTTTCTCTATCGCTCTCTCTCTCTCTCTCTCTCTCTCTCTCTCTCTCTCTCTCTATCAGACACACACACACACACACATACACCACCGCGTATACACATCTATAAAGCACACCCTTCAATAGCTTATTAAAGAGGTTGGTAAATAAATAAATAAATAGCTTATTCAACTGATTGGTGAATTACATATTCGGGATCCAGTTTTGTTATATAAATCGCTTGTCTGAGAAATGAAATTTGCTGCATCTCTCTCTTCAGTGCTTGGTGGTCGGTGTTAGAATCTAGTTAAAAGATAATAAACAAAACTTATGATAAATAATTCTTTACATGATCAAACATACTTGATTTTCCCACTTAGACTTAGTAATGGATAGCGGCTCGGATTGAGAAATCGGAAATTACGAGCTGGGAAAGGTATGACTCCTCTTCTTCTTCTCCTTTCTTCGTAATAGCAGGACACAGACCGGGTTCTATAGCCTTGAATTGCATCTGGTCTACTGCGGAAAAAAATCTGTCTCGTCAGTCATATATCGAAAGATAAATGATCGCTTAAGCGTGTATCACGCATGGCACATAACTGACTGAACCGTAAGTCCTATGCTAATATTTTCTTCTATCGCATTTCTCTCCTGTGGAACTCGCTTCCTATTCAACCTTGATCTCCAAAAATGTCAATGCAACATCAAGAGTAATCTTCTGTTTTCTAAATACCTGTTCTTTTATTGTTCTCTATCCTTAATAGTATATTTTTCTCATATTCTCTAAGACTCAGTAACACACCTTTGCGTCTTAGCGGCTTTATTGCCTTTCTTTGAAGGAAATGATTTTTAAAAATATCCACTCAAATGTTTAATTATATATCATGGGCTGAAATTAATCCCAATTAGTTTGCATTCACCATTGATACCCAGGTAAACAAATTGGTAAAATCAAAAGTAAGAAAGAAATAAATTAGAATTAGTCCTATTATGCAAATTGGAATAGGTACTTTGTTAAAAGGAAACTGTAAAAACAGGTTTCATTTCTCGCTTGCTTATTTCATGCGCCGTGTTCCTTCAAGACGTAGGTGATCATGGCTCTCCACACATTCCTGTCTTTTCTAGCTCGTAATAAATTTTGTTTCTTTGTTATTTCTTCTAAACCCTGTTCCACTATCCATTTACTCAAGCTTGCTAAGTATGTTATGCGTTGTTTTCCTCTGTCCCTCTTGCGTTCAATCTGTCCTGTGAGTATCAGATTTTCCAAGCCCTCCTTCCTCATTATGTGCTCTAGAAACTTCATCCGTCTCTTTCTGATGTTGAGTAATAAGTGTACGTTTCGTTTCCATTTTTTCTAAAACTTTGTTGTTGCTCACAAGTTCGTTCTATGATATTCTCAGCATCCTTCTGTAGAACCATATTTCTGTTGCTTTAAATCTTTTCTTGAAGAGATTGTGAGGCATTCACTGCCATATAGGAGGACAGATAACACGTAACAATTCAGTATTTCGTTTTTTTTTTTATGTTTCTCAATCTTAGCTTTTAGAAGGCATCTTTGTCTACGTCAATACGCTTTCGGATTTCACACTTTCCGTCCTCTGTTAAATCACTTCCCAGATATTTAAATTTTTGTACTTGTTTTGATTTTGGTATTTCCTCTTCGTAATTAGCATATTGAGCTCTTTCTTTTGCTAACAACAATGCATTCTGTTTTTGTTTTTTTGTTTGTTTTTTTTTCCTAGATTAAGTTCTGTTCTTCCTCTTCGGTTTCCTTCACTAGATTCTTTAACAGTTCTTATAGTTTCCTTTCTGTGTAGCACTGGGTCATCTGCATATCAAGGTGATCAAGCAATGATTTTCTGTGATAGATATGATGACTGGCGTCACTTTGGGTATATGGGGATCGAATCTTCCCTTCCTTGAAAACAAAAATGGTACTGTCCAGATTGTGCTCGTCTGAAGTGGCAGCGTGTTAGGCCTGGTCTCCTCCATGAGTAAGTGGATACACCAATATAACAAAAAAAAAATACAATTCATACAAATATTGTTAATTGTCCTCTGTAAAGGACTGTAGATCCTTATATATTTTTTCTATTTTTTTTTCTTTTGTTTCTCGTGAATCTTTGGAGAAATTGACTGTTCAATGTCACACATTCTGCCCTCTGTTAAAACAATTCCCAGATATTTGAATTTTTGTACTTGTTTGATTTTGGCATTTTCTCTTTGTAATTAGCATATTGGGCTCATCCTTTCGCTGACAACAATGCATTTTTTCTGAGCCAGTTAATATAAAAATATTAAAATACTTGCAACAATTTATTGAATATCACACGTTCCTTATTTGCAAACCATAGACTACGTGATCAAATGGATGAAAGAAGATTATGATGCGCCATCACAATGGGGAGAATCTGCCTATCTCTATATTTACGAATTGTAGCGTCAATTTTTCAAATAGGTAATATCTACCTAACATACCGCTCACGTATAACATACAATTGGCCCCAGGCATGAAACTATTGTCTCCTTTTTAAAGTGCACTATCTCTCTCTCTCTCTCTCTCTCTCTCTCTGTCGTGCTATCTCTCTCTCTCTCTCTCTCTCTCTCTGTGTGTGGTGCTATCTCTCTCTCTCTCTCTGTCGTGCTATCTCTCTCTCTTTCTCTATCAGACACACATACACACCCGCGTACACACATCTATAAAGCACACCCTTCAATAGCTTACTCAACGTGTTGGTAATAAATAAATAAATAGCTTATTCAACTGGATGGTGAATTACTCACTTTCACTATCTTTCTGGGTCTACGATCAACACTGTGTCATCTGCATATCTTATGTTGTTAAAATTACGGCCTCCATTAATAAATCCTGGTAGGATGTCTAGTTCTCTCAGAATTGCCTCGCTGTATAGGTTGAGTAAGTTAAATGAGAAGACGCATCCTTGTTTTATACTCCTTTCTATTTTAGTATATCCACTGAACTCATTTTCTATCTCTATGCAGACCGTTTGCTGCCAGTATATGTTTTTGATTACCGTAATATTCTTCCAAATATATCAAAGTTGCCGAGCATTTCCAACAAGTCTTTGTGGCATACTTTATCGAACGCCTTTGCGTAATCTATAAAGCTAGGTGCCCAAATGCAGATGCTTTAAACAAGGACCCCTGTAAATTATAAAAAAATAAACGAAAATCATCATGTTCAAACACATCATGTTCAAACACTACTAACCGTACGATCACAGAAGTTGAGAAATGCCGAGCCTGATCAGTGCCTAGATGGGTGCCCGCTTGGAAATACCAGGTGCTGTACGCTTCTATGTGTGGGTGGTGACATGGATAATGACTCAGAATTGTTAATCGGAGAGCTGAGTTCCAATTCCAGTTGGGATCGGTATATTGCGAAATTTATGAATTCATTTTTTATCCCGCAGATTATAAATCTTAGAATCTAAAAACATTTTCTGCGTTTAAATTATGCGTAAATAAATCAATAAAAATATTTTTTTAGGAGAATGTTGATTCCGATATCCACAGTGTCTATATCTATAAACTCTCTATTTCTATCTGCTGAATGATATATATATATATATATATATATATATATATGTATTTATATATATATATGTATGTATATATATACATATATATGTATGTGTATATATATATGTGTATATATTTATATATGTATATATCTACTGAACACTATTATATATCACTCTTTTCTCTCTCTCTCTCTCTCTATATATATATATATATCATATATTTATATATTAAACAACATATATATATATATATATATATATATATATATACATATCTTTTTCAACACACTCTCTCTCTCTCATTCACACCATCTCTCTCTATATGTATATGTCTCTCATATATTACTTTTGATATACTGAACATTATGATCTCTTTCTCTTTTTTCTCCCACTCGCTTTCTCTCAGTTATTCTCTCTCTCACTCGCTCTCTCTCCCTCTATCTATGTATGTGTGTGTGTGTGTGTGCATACAGTATGTATATAAAAAGCTATGTATATCAGGACAGCATATCTTCATTCAAGCATATTATATTTATTTTTATTTTGTTCCTTTCAAAATTCACGTATTCTTAATTTTGATATTACATTCATTAAGGAAATCGACGTAGTTTTATCCTTTCTTTTATTTTCTCAAGTACTTTCAATATCATCTAAGTCCATATTTGTGGTGAATTACCGAGAGAAAAATTAATGTAATTGATGTAATTATACGTATATCAATGTTAATAGTGTAAATAGTTTCAATACCACAGTTAAGAAATAAAGACACCACCTGAAGAAGGTGGGAGGGTAGAACGGCCGAAGAAAACCTAAAGAGCCAGGCAAACCTACCTAGGTTTCACCTACGCGGATCGTCAGGTTAAACTGGCTAAAAAGGTGATAGAAGAACTGAAAATATATAGCCTACAACACAAAAACATGATCATGTGACCAAAAAGAAAAAAGCAAACAACGTGGGGTTGAAACATATTTCTTCAAAAACATTTAGGTTTCCTCTACTTAGCGAATTGAGCACGTTGCTTAGTTATTTTACTTTACTCGTGTCGGAAGTTTTTTTCTTTGAACTCTGAACTTAAATTCTAGACGATTATTTTCGCCAGAAGTATATGTTCTTAGTTCTTTCTTTTTTTTCCCTTCGGTATTGGTTTGTTCATTTACAAGCTAAAACACCTAAGGTTTTGCCGGACGAGATTATTGGCATATATATATATATATATATATATATATATGTGTGTGTGTGTGTGTGTGTGATCAAGAAGATTTGTTTTTTACAAGTTATGCTCTGTTCAACAAAGGCTTTGACCAAACTCTGCCATGAAATTTTGACAGTTCTTGGTATGTCTTAACAGCGAAACCGTCTGTCGGTTCTAGCAATCTTTCATCAGAGATTTTCTTACTGAGTTCTTATCCTCTATGCAGCCCTCCTCAGTCTTTTTTCTACATCTGTTAACCATTCTTCTTGTTTGTGACATAATCCCGTGGTGTGGTGTGGATCTATCTCAGTATATTCATATCTATCTATATGTCTAAATATCACAGTATATATCTATCTATCTATCTATCTATCTATCTATCTATCTATATATATATATATATATATATATATATATATATATGTATGTACGTGTGTGTATATATGTATGTATGTATGTATGTATATATTAGTTTCTTCATAGGTGTGGATCTATCTCAGTCTATTCATATCTATCTATATGTCTAAGTATCACAGCATATACACAAATCTCTCTATCTCTCTCTCTCTCTATATATATATATAGATAGATAGATAGATAGATATATGGTGTGATGTCTGATGGCTGCGTTATATCAGCTATAATATATAGGCGTGAAACATAAACATTAACAAAATCGATATATATATATATATATATATATATACACACACACACACAAACACACACACACAGACAAACACACACACACAAACACACACACACAAACACACACACACAAACACACGCATCCTATGTTGTGTAGGGTCCGCATGTGTGCACGTGAGCAGTCTTGTTTTTGCCAATATTTGCATAAATATATCAGTACGTGAATTCCCAATCTACACATACATACTGTCTTTCTATAAGGAATAAGTATACACAAATATACATACATACATACATACAAATACACACACTTCCTATGTTGTGTAGAGTTTGCGTGTGTGCCCGTGAGCAGTCTTGTTCTTGCCATTATGTGAATATATATATATATATATATATATATATATATATCAGTATGCATGTATACGCACATTCCCCCTCCATACATACATACCGTATTATTATAAGGAATAAGTATACATACATATACCCACATACGTACATACACATACACATATATGCATACATATATACATACATGCGTACACATACAGACACTTCATATTTTGTGTAGTGTTTGCGCGTTTGCCTGTGAGTAGTCTATTCTTTTTGGCAATATGTGTATACCCGCGTATGTCTGTGTATGCATGCATGCGAGTGGTTTGGCCTCTGTATTTGGCTATTATGATTGCATGTTGTGTGTTTTTCTGTGTCGGGGTTTATGATCTTTTTAGTGCTGGTTTAAATATGTTTAAAGTTTTTTTCTTGTATTTGTCGGTAAGAAATAATTGTCTGATTGATGTATTGGCATAACATTAAATTCACCCTCGTTACATTTATAGATTTGTTGTGCTACAAAGAATTTTCTATTGTCTGGTAATTTGATGTTGCTTTTGCGTAGGGAGACCCTGTTGTTTATTTTGGTTGTTTTTAGTATATTTTTTTCAATTTGTCATTCTTGCTAAGTAGGTATAGATTTTTTGTAATTTCTGTAAATAGTTCTGGATTCTTCTTGTTGTATGTTGAAACATGTGCTAGATTTTGTTCGACGTTACGTTTCTTTGGATTTCGTAGTTGGTCTAAAGGGTATTTTTTGTTACTTCAAGACCATTGTTCATTAGTGTTATGGAGTAGCCGCGTTTTCTTTAGTTCTTCTATGCGGTTTTTTTGGAGATGTTTGTCAGTTACTATCGTACAAACCCTTCGTGCTAGAGAATAGGGGATAGATTTCAGGCAGCTTTTTGGGTGATAGCTATGATGAAGATATTGTTGGGCATCTGTAGGTTGTGGTAGATATCTGTGATTATGTGATTGTTTTTATTTCTAATGAGTATATCTAAAAATTGTAATTCATTGAAATTATATTATTGAGTGAATTTGTTTTTTGGGTGTAAGTTTTGATGTAGAGTGTGGTTAATATCACTCCATGAGGATTTCCAGAAAATGAAGCAATCATCTAAGATTTAGTGAAGTATATATATATATATATATATATATATATATATATATATATATATATATATATATATGCCGATATATATATATATATATATATATATATATATAGTTATTATGATAACCTGGAAAAGTAATTAAGAAACATAATAACAGTCTTCAGCAATTATAGGGACTCAAAAAACTTGACTACTCGCCTGGTTGCAACGAGTAAAGCTAAGTATAATGACACTGCTAATAACTTGTGCCATTGTAGGAATCCTAATAATTGTCTAACAAGTTCTCTAGTTCTAAAATTACCACACTAGAAAACCCCAATATTAAAAAAATATATTGGATGTACTATGAATACATTCAAAGAACGTTGCCGTGGGCATGTGCAATCTTTTAACTATTAATCAAAAAGACAAGACACCTACTGTTAAATGGAAATTAATTAAGACAGCTCGAGCATGTAATTCTCTATATACTCCTTGTTATTTGATGAAAAAATCTTGATGAAAAATTAGAAATCATTAGATTTAAATACAAAATTCATCTCTAAAATCAAAGGAATGAACTCACTGCTAACTGTAAACATAGCTCAAAGTTTAACTTAGTAAAGGTGTCGTAATATTTTTGACAATAATGCAATGTTAATGTAAGTTTAGTATGTCATTATTTTCTGCTAATCCGCCTATCCATGTACACATATGTATACGTTTATTATGTTGTTTGTGTGTGCACATGTGTGTGGATTTTATGGATATATGTGTATGTGAGTATATTATGTGTCTATGTGTTTTCTTTTTTATATATTAACTGGTTTTATTTTAAGTGTTGCATTTGGCCAGGACATTTAAATTAGGTGTTTTTTTTTATGTGTGTGTATGCGTATATATTTATTTTTTTCTGTCAATTCTATATATTTCATTGTCATTTTTCTTTGCGTTGTTCATTGCTGAATATTTGTTTTTCTATTCTGTCCCTCTTAAATTTTATCTATTGAACCTTCTTTTTAATCAATATATTTTTACCCATATAAGTAATATTTTAACAGTCTGCTTGAAATCGTTTATTAACACTTTCAAATTTGAATGTTTGTAGATGTGTATATGTGTGTGTCTTTATTAATGTATGTGTGTATGATCACATATGTATGCCTTTCATTGTATGTATATGTTTTCTGTTTTGTTAGATTTGGGGATCTCTATTTTCTGTTTCGTTTGTGTCTAGGTGTTTTTGTCATATAATCTGATTGTGTATGTATTGTCTTTTGCAAGATGTCGTCCTCCCCTGCCCATATCACCACTTCAAATATTTCTAAGTTGTAACGATGTTTTACATCCCCATTTGATTAACGTTTACACTAACTGAAATTTTAGTCTTTCAATTAAAACAAAATAAATAATATATGTACTTTTTCTTCAGTTTAATACACATTAAATTTAACATAGGTAATTTTTAATTTTCAATTTTATAGTAAAATTTAATATTAATCAATTAAAATGATTTCTTTTTAGTCTAACTCTGACATTAAGACATTAATTATTATAACCAAAGTTCTTTGTCAAGTTTTTTTGAATTTTCATATACTTATATTTTGATTGGTCATTGCAGCTTATGTGACAGCGTTTCCCCTATCGAGGGGTGTTTAATCGATTTGAACCTTTTAAAACTCTTTATTCTAAATTCAACACCATCACTTGATAAGACAACAGAAGTGTTGAAACAAAATTGCTATTTTTGTAGTGATTTTAAAACATATTTATGTTATAATTTTCGAATAAATTATATTTGCTCTACTCTGTATTGAGCACTCTTTTAAGAATAGTATTTATTGGTTATGGGAATTTATTTCAATCGTATACGTGGATAGACACACACACACACACACATATATATATATACATATATATATATATATATTAGAATACCGGTGTCAAGTTCGTTACTTTCACTTCAGCACAGATACCTATTGATAAAGCTATGAATCCATCGTTTTTACCCAGCTATAGCTTAAATTGCAGAGAAGACTTAGTGTTTGAGCCATAGTTGCAATTAGTGTTGGAGAATGACAACTCTAATTTAAAATCGCATGTTGAGTCAATACCCAACGTCGACAATCTGTTCCACGCATCCTCAGGCCAAAACTATATATATATATATATATATATATATATATATATATATAT